AAACTAAAGAGATACATTTAAGGTATAAGCTTAAGGGATAAACTAAAGGGACAAACTAATGGGGGATAAATGTAAGGTATAAACTAAAGGTATAAACTAAAGGGATACATTTAAGGTATAAGCTTAAGGGATAAACTAAAGGTATAAACTAAAGGGATAAATTTAAGGTTTAAGCTTAAGGGATAAACTAAAGGGACAAATTTATGGGATAAATTTAAGGTATAAACTTAAGGGATAAACGTAAGGGATAAACTAAGGGGACAAACTTAAGGGATACATTTAAGGTATAAACCAAAGCGACAAATGTAAGGGATACAGTTAAGGTATAAACTAAAGGTATAAGCTAAAATGAAAAAAACTTAAGGTATAAACTAACGGGATAAACTAAATGGACAAACTTAAGGGACAAACTAAAGGTATAAACTTAAGGGACAACTTAAGGGATAAATTTAAGGTATAAACTAAAGGTATAAGCTAAAAGGATAAATTTAAGGTATAAACTTAAGGAATAAACATAAGCTATTAGCTAAAGCTATAAGCTAAAAAGATCAACCTAAGGGATAAACTAAAGCTATAAGCTCAAAGGATAAATTTAAGGGATAAACTTAAGGTATAAACTTAAGGGACACACTTAAAGGGATAAACTTAAGGGATAAACTAAAGGGATAAACTAAAAAGATAAACAGCTATTGACTATGGATATGCTGGTCTGCCTTCTGACAAACGGAGCCCTTTTAAGGCTTCTGCCATGGTCCTAGTTTTTAATAATTTCTGCGAGTTGCAGGTTTTGATATTTAGACAGCTTTCCTAAATATCTGCCCATTTGTAAATAATCTCTTATTCTATAATATGATAGATATCAGACAGTACAGAAATGAACCTTAACCCATTTCAATCATTTCCTCTGCTTTATTAAAGAAAATCACACAGTGGACGATCAGTTTATAAAAATCTGAATCACCAGGCTGCTACTTACCTCCTTAAATTCTGGGAGAGCTTCAGGTTTTACTTAGGTTTTTAATGATGACTACATCTCTTGATGAGAGGAGCTTTAACATGTCACCTCTATTTAGCAACAGTAGTCCCCCTTTCCCTGTTGACGCTTATCTGTTTTTGACATGTGCTACAGAAAAAAACAGCTCCTAAACTGGATTTGATGGGTGGGGTCAGGATGACAACATTCTGTCTCTCACCGTTGTTCCTGTTGAACGGGAATTTGGTCCAGGCGGAGAGCCTGGAGCCGCACTGGGCCCTGACCCGCACGTTGTAGTCAGAGTCAGATCCCAGGTCGAAGGTCAGGTCACAGTCAGTGTGTGGAATCTTCTGACAGTCAGGAGCATTAATCCAACTGCCGTTCTTGATCACAAGCTCAAACTCGCTGCAGGAAAAGAGACACAGGAGTGTTAATATCATACTAGCGCTCATTGACTGCAAAACCTTCCACACTGGAAAATTGATCTAAAAATAAGTAAAAATGTCTGAAATAAAGTGTATTTAGCCTTAATTTGAGAAGGTAAATGATATAGTTTGCCAATGGATTGAGTATTCTTACTCTTAAAATAAAATAATTAGATAATATGCACTTGAAATAAGACAATGCAATTGTTTTTGCTTATTTTAAATATAAAGTGTCTTGTTCCATTAGCAAAATGTCTCTTTTACCTCCTCAATCCAAGAACAAATGCACTTATTTTCAAGAAAAAATGATTGTCTAGATTTCAAATTTTTCCAGTGCAAGAGCAGTACTGATCATTTTTGCGGCTGTGTGTTTCCTGGACGGAGCCACCTTTTGCAGCTGCTTTTTGTGTCTCTGCTTCTGTCTCCTTGAACCCCAAT